AGCCTGTTGGTGTTACTCAAGCCATTGGTTTGGCAAAGCTGGTCAAGTCCAAATTTAAAGATTCAAAGACCTGATTTTAAGACCTATACAACAACATCCTTGTCACCATCTACTTCTAATAAACCCCCAAATCCACTTACCCCTTCTACTTCCTCAAACCCCTCCATCCCTATCAAGTCGTTGTCCCAATCTCAACTACAAGAACGTTACGTTGCTAGCCTTTGCTATAATTGTGATGCTAAATTTCACGTAGGGCATCGCTATGTACTCCAAAGTTCCCCCTTTTACTAAGTGACGAATTGGATGACATATTAACCACCGCCAGTGGAGGATTGCGAGGAGACTCAACACGAAGAGTCTATCCATTTTCATTTTCCCCCCAAGCACTCATGGGCCTTCCCTCCACTTCTACCTTAAAGTTCTAGGGTTATATTTACGGCCTACCTATTATGGTTTTGGTTGATAGTGGTAACTTTCACAACATACTACAGTCTCACCTAGCTAAACATTTACATCTCAATATTGAGCCAACTCAGTCATTTTCAATTATGGTTGGCAACAGAGATAACGTTATCTATAACAATTGTTGCTTAGCTGTGCCACTCACCTTCCCAACACATACTTTCACACTTCCTTTCTATTTACTTCCCAATGAAGGCTTAGGCATAGTTTTGGGTATAGCTTGGCTTAGTTCTATTGGGCCTTACGAGCAAATTTTCTATTCCTAAAATCTCTTTTGTCCATAAGGATACACCCATTACAATCACTGGCAACAAATCTATCTCTCCAACCTTGGCTACGTACCCATAGTTATGCCAATTCATCCATACAAAAACTGTTGATCCATACCACCTTCTCACTTTTGATCATTCTCCGTCAACACTTACACTACCTCTCCTCCTAATATCCAATAGATCATCCTTCAATTCTCCGATGTGTTTTCACAACCTCGTAGCCTTCCCCTCCTCGTTCCTAAGATCATCATATTAATTTGTTTCCTAATACATCTCCTATTTCTGTTAGACTCTACAAGTTTCCACATGTGCAAAAAGAGATCACGCAACAAATGATAAAGGAAATGTTGGATGAGGGAATTATTGTACCAAGCAAGAGTCTATACTCTTCCCCAGTTATTTTAGAGCACAAGAAAATGGTTCTTGGCGTTTTTGCATAGATTACAGGGCTTTGAATGTTGTTGCGGTTAAGGATTGCTTTCCTATATCAACAATTGATGAGTTGCTGGATGAATTAGGCTCTCCCACCCAATAGACTAGCTTTTGGGTTAGACTCTTCGCTTTTGCTTAATTCCTAAAAGAGTTTCCATATTTCATATATTTTTTGGTTTGTTTCCTCCATAGTAGTCCCGCCATTTGGATGTTGTCGCGTCGCAGATGAGTGTCGCGGCCGGAGCGGCCGTGTCGGCGGCGGAGCGGAGCGGCCAGAAACGCGAGAATCGCGACGCGTTTTTTGACCTACCCTTCATTAACGGTAAGTTTGTCTTTCCGTTGGGCTTTATTTGCCCTAATTTTTCCCCTCTCTCTTGCGGAAGTCTCCTTTTCTCACTCGCGCACTCCCTCTTCTCTCTCTCTACTCTTGCACTCCTTGGACGATCGTTTCTTCTCGTCCAGCTCCGACGCACTACAGTTCCGACGGCCCTCCAGCTCCGACGCAGTCGTCCAGCTCCGACGCTTGTCCAGCTCCAACGTCGTCCAACTCCGACGCGCCTCTAGCTCCGACGCCGACGCTCCTCCAGCTCCTTCGTGCCCCGTTTGTCTTTGTGCGTCTGTCTTCGTGCGTCTGTCTTCTTTCTCTTTTCTATTCCTATTTTATATTTCAAAAGATTTTTTTTTATTTCTCATTAAATTTAATTAAGTAGAATTTTTTTTAATTTCTGAATAAATTTAATTTAGCAGATTTTATTTTTAATTTCTGATTAAATTTAATTCAGCAATTTTTTTTAATTTCTAATTAAATTTAATTCAGCAAATTTTATTTTTAATTTTTGATTAAATTTAATTATTAAAAATGTTTAATGCATGAAGTTAGAGTTTTTTTTTTTAGCTTTTATATATATTATTAATTATTTAATATATATAAATTAATATTAAAATAACGGTTATCCCGCTCCGCGTCATCCCGCTATCCCGTTTTTAGGGTTGACCGCTCCGCTCCGCTATCCGGGATTGACTACTATGGTTTCCTCATTTGATTTGATTAGGATTTGGCATAGTTATAAATAGCAGAAAATTTTGCTGCAATTGTATTGTAGTGGAGTGTCATGGCTGAATAGCGGCCAAATAGTGGATAGCCCTGCTGTTCCTCTTTGCACCTTAGCCCATGGTAGTCAAAGTTGAGTTCTTACTTGTAAGATCATATGATTTTTCAATTCTGAGACTCCAAACAATCCCAATCACAACATTCATTTTGGTGGGATTGGTTGGATAGCATGGTCATTTATGTACAATTGGCAAGGTTGTCCGATTCCACTGTGTAGAGCCAAAAGACTGTTTTCGAAGTAAAGACACAAGACCCACAACATTCCTCCATTTCAAACTCTCAGATAGTCAAACCCACTGTCTTCGGATTCATCTCTGTTGTGGTTTATCTTCTTCAGCTGGGTTCAATAGTATTTTGTGTCTTTTAATCTTCTCTGTTTGTTTCTTCATTTATATTTGTGCTTCCATTCCAAAGGTCAAACTCTAAGCCTTCTGCTTGGATGCCTTTCTACTTTTGTTGGTTGGTGCTTTGCTTGCTGATTTACCTTTTTGTTTTTTTTTTTGTTCTATGTTCCAATGTTTTTCATGCTTATGTGGTTTGGGAATATTTAACTTTAATTGGTCTAGCTTTTTCTTTTAGTATTTCTAGTTTACTTTGTTAGAAAGTTTTGCCTATTATATTATCAGTGTTAAATTGACACTTGTCTCATCCATTTGTAAGTTTAATAAATAATTATCATTTTAAGGTTATTTTGCATATTATTATTATTACTATTATTATTATTATTATTATTTTATATAGATTTAAATATGTTTTAGTTCCGGAAAAATTAGAGTTTTGATTTTGGTCCTTGTAAATATTTTTCTCCCTATAAAATTTATAACTATTGGTTTTAGTTCGTGTTATTATATAATCATTTTTAACTACTTATTTAGTTATTAAAAGACTAAGTGATCATCTCAGATGTTACTCATAACTATTAGTGATACCATGTTAGTGTGTGACACCTCTAAAATTTTTTAATAGATCCTTAAAATAAATGTTATTTATCTTTCTTAAAATCATTGTTAGGGACCAAAAATAGTGATTTCAGATTTTGAGGGATGAAAATTGAAAGAAAAATATTTTATAGGTACCAAAATCAAGATTTACTCATCTTATAAGGATCAAAAATGTTTTTCAAGGACTATAAAAAATGGTTACAAATTTTTAAAAGATGAAAAACAAATAAAAAAATTTATGGGGACCAAAATTAAAACCTGCTCATTTTACAGGAACTAAATATATATTTAAGTCTTTTATATATTATATAATATAATATAAATACAAAATCATGTCATGTGTGTAATATATCTATTTATCTTATGTAGGACCTTATAATTCGTGTTATGATTTTACATTTTGTGTTTCACTCCGCATTACAATCCTAGTAAGATCTCAGTTTTGTATACCTTCCCTTAGCCCCTACATTTTTCAACCCAACCCTGTTAGCTGACACCTATTTTGTCCGGATTTCACGATTTTTGCTTGAGCCACCACTTCTCCAACCAAGCCTATTAATTTTCTGGCCAAGCTCATTGCTGCTTCCTCTCTTCTCCATGACAACATCCTTTGTCTTTTATCTTTTTTTTTTTTTTTTTTC